GAGCCAGTGGCCGCTTCGGACAGCGGCGCCCCGAGCCCCTCGGGGGCCGAGCCCGGGGAGAAGCGGGCGCCTGCTGCCGAGCCGTCTCCTGCAGCGGCCCCCACCGGGTGAGTAGCGCGGCGGGGGTCGCAGAGAGAACTTTAGGGGTGGACAGAGGGCAATGAATGAACCTCGGGCACCGCGCACAGCGTCCTGGGGCTGCATGCAGGGAGGCTGTGCGCCGCTTGCCGGGACCCGAGCCCTAGCACCCCCGGCACCCCCTCAGACCTCCACCCGGCGTCGGGCGGCGCCCCAGACCCGGCCTAGGGGGTTGGACGGGGTCCCGGGGCGGGGACGTGCCGGAGAGTTTGTTATTGTTTGTAGACATGTGACAGGCGTGCCAACCGCTCTGCGGGGACCCGTTGCGAAAAGGTGTGGAGGCCGTGGTTGGCTCTGGGGCTCTCGGAATAGGGGCTCTCCGAGGAGCCCGGGCTCGAGACCCTGGCGCTGCCCTCAGGGCAATTCGGGGCCGGACCGAGGGGGCGGGGAGCAGCCCGGTGGCGGCGCCCCAGGAAGGGAGCCTCGGAGGCGGGGGGCGAGGCCGGAGCCGGCCGGCGGGCGGTGGTCGGGAAAGGGGCGGGGTGGGTGAGAAGCCCCAGCCGGAGGCCGGGGCGGGGGCAAGAGGACAGAAGAGAAAGCGACAAGGTCCCCGCGGCCGTGACAGACCGAGCCCCTCGGCCCGCTTGGAGCTCGAGTCCCGAGGCAGGTACCGGGGCCGGGCCCGGACTCAGGCGGTGCGCCCCAAGCGCCGGCCGTAGCGGGGGCGGGGGGGTCCCTGGGGACGGCTCTGTAACTCCTGTCAAAGCGGTGTGGGCGGACGGGCTGCAAACTCGCGGGGCTTGCAATCTTTTCGAACTTGGGGTTTTCTAACTGCGTCCCCCCAAGAGCCTCGAGTGTACTTGGGAAGGCGAACTGCACGAATAAGATTAGAGCGACTTCGGTTTGGAGTTTGGATTTGGTCTTTGAAGTTTGTATTTGGCTGAGTGGTGTTAAGAGCCCCGACCGGATGTGTCAGCCATTCAGTTTCAAAGCTGTGGTGACTGCTCCCCGCAGTCCCTGCGGCGTGGTACGGCAGCGCGGCGCGGGTGCGGTGCTTCCTGCTCCGTGCAGCTGCGCGGGCCACCCGCCGACTGCCGAATTCCAGGGTCCACAGAGCTGTGAGCTCCGGCTCAGATAAGATTGACCTGTGGTGCTTATGAAGTACGATACATATGTGTAATGTAATTCAGGCGAGCGATTCATGGCCTGATGCTGTTTTGGCAAGTGGGACTTTTTATGTTAAAGGAAATTCAAATAAGTGTGACAGCCATAATCTTTGTTTTTAAAAAATCTGACTAATGTATGCAAAGCACAAAGTCTTGATGGGATATTTTGAGTTGCTGGAAATGTTTTTGTGATAGTCACCCTTTGCCCTGTAGAATTCCCTGACCCTTATTCTGAGTATTTTAATGAGTGTGTGCCTTAGTTTTGTGTTCCTTTTGAGGCGAATTTGACAGTGGAAATACTGGTTTTGGTTCATTATTTGAAGTGATTTGGTACTTTTTTGTGATAATATTTATTTAAAACTACAGTTCATTTATTACTTGAAAGTTCCTCCTACCCCCGAAAATAAAAAACTAAAAAAAATATGCTTAGACTCCACCGTGGCAATTTTGAAACAGAAGGAGATTGTGACTGTGATAGTTTTTTGTGTGCGCTTGTGCATGTAACTTAGTCTTACAAGAGTTATATTCCTTTACAGTTTTCTATTTCTACTCACGTAGGACCAAACTTAACTGGAAAAATTCTTTGAAGGCAAATGAATTCCAGATAAAAATTTTAAACCCCAAATGTCAGAAATTAATTTTATATATATTCATTATTCATACTTTTTGGGTACAATAAATAGTTTAGTAAATGTCAGCATTCTAGTCATCTCATTGAGCTATGAATATAGTATAAGAGCAGCCACTGTACAAATAATACATAATTGTTTGGTGTGGTCTTTTGACACAAAATAAGAGAACTAAGGTAGAGGCAGATAGAATTCAGGGACTGAGTAATCCATGCTTAGTTTTTGTGTTTTATAACCTAGGTTTTTTCTCCTCTTTGTTTAAGGGGTGGATTGTAAATTGCACAGTATATGATATAATAGACTAGTCAGCATAATCTTCTTTATTTTTTTTTTAATGAACTTCATTAGCCAGAATGCTTTTGGCTCATCCCAAATATAAAAATAAATATTTCATTTATAATAAAGTGTTGATTCCCTATCCCTTTAAAATGCAGTGATTTTTCCAACTTCCTTGGCAATTGGGGGTTGAAATTCATTTCAATCTCTTGTTATAAACACTGATGATAAGCAGTTCAATAAAATCTGAATTGAACTTTGCATTATACTTTCTGACAGTAGTTTCATGTTTTCAGGAGGAAAATCAAACACTGAGATTTTGAAATATTTTTATGTTTTAGTAGGAGTAGAGGTATAAAAACATCTTCTAAGGACGTATTGTATTTTTTTAAAAAACAATTCTATGATTTTGATTTGAGAATTTCCTTTAGGTTTTTTTTTTTTTTTTATAACCTTGAACGTAGAAATTGAAAGTGTAGAAAATACACTCGTGAGGTATACATTATATAAAACTAATTTTAAAAGTTGAAGATTTAAAATCTGGCCCTCTCCTTCAGAGTAATAACTGAAATCAGTGAAAGTTTTGTGCCTGTAAGTGGCGCCCAAGGATTTTGAATTTTTCCTTATATTACAGAATTAAGGGTTTTTTCTTCCTATTTACTGTCTTTGAAGAAAAATTACAGTGTTACTCTCCACTGAACAGGCTATTGTGAGTTTAGTAGATATAATTACTCCATCCTATTTTGGTAACTTAAAAAGGCCAAACTATCAATTTGCTGGGCCCGTGAAAGAACAAGATATGCTGTACTTGTTAATGTTAGTTTTGTTTGAAGATATCTCACTGGCTGCTTTTATATCCTCATATAGCCCTCAGCTTTCACTTCCTTTCAGAAGCTGTTAGACGAAAGTAATAATTCTTGGTGACCTTTTACTCAAGAAGGTATAGTGACATCACCTAAAAATAGGTTTTAAAAAATTAAGTTTGTGATATTATAAAATAATAGAGGTAGTTACATAAGTTAGCCTTACATGAATTTGTAAGTTTTATAGTTATGAAATGTCTCCAGGTTTCGTTTTAAATCAGTTAAGAAAATTAATGCATTCTTCAAAGTGTAACCTTATTAAATATAATTCAGAAGGAGAAATGTCAGAGTTGGAGTTGTTGCCAACTTTTGTTTTCTTTTCATACCTGATTTTGGCAAGGATGACTGGTTAACCAACATTCCTTAATATATGGTTTCCAATACACTATAATAACTCTATTTTGTTAGATACAAAAAACAGGAAGTAGCTCTATTCATTGATATTCTTTCACATCTTCTATACCAAGCATAGTATCTTGATTTTTAAGAAACGTTCACTGACTTGTAGACTTGAAGATTTCAAAATATGGAAAGAAAGGAGTGTTCCTTTGCTTTCAACAAGAGCAAAAGAACCAGCTACAGCTTGCCTAGGCTGAGTCTGCTGATCAGTCCTTGACACTGGCTGTGTGCATTCCAAAGAAAGAAATGATGGGATGGCAAGGTAGTTAATGGGGACTGGATTACCCCAAGGAGAAATACGGGGCATTCAAAAGTGCTGAGTTAGAAAGGACAACTTTTGAATTTTGTACCCCAGTCGGTGGTTAAGCGCTCTGCTGCTAACCAAAAAGCTGGTGGCTGGAACCCATGAGCCACTCCGTGGGAGAAAGATGTGGCAATCTGCTTCTGTAAAGATTACAGCCTTGGAAACCCTGTCCTATAGGATACTCTGTCCTGTGGGGTCACTATGAGTCGAAATCAACTCGACGGCAACGAGTTGGTTTCTTGTGATGGGGGGATCTTATGGTGAAGGGGAATAGAAAAATGTGCCATGGAAATGAAATATTCTCCTGAGGCTACTCAAGAGCTGCAATATATTGTGCCTCTAGCCTTAAAATGCTTTGCTTATATCAGATATGCCAAGTATATTCCTTAGATTTGGTGGTTTCCCTGAGTCCTGGCCTCTTTTTATATCCTAAGTCAAAAGTTAGAACTACTTGAATATGTAAATGTGTAGAAGATTAATTAATATTGAGGAAGTGTTCAGTATCAGGAATAAAGTTCAAATTGTCTTTAAGAAATTTTTAAAAATTTAAACACAAAAGAAATAATCAGGACTACAGTTAAATGGTTTATTGCAAAGCAGTGAGATTATTCAGGTGCTCTTTTCATACTGCAAAAATGTAAGAGGCTTTTAACTGTGGCTTAAAACATCTTCATTGGGCATATAGACATGCTTAACTGTTATTGTCAAGATGATTCTGACTCATTGCGACCCTGTAGGACAGAGTAGAACTACCCCGTAGGGTTTCCAAGGAGCGGCTAGTGGATTCAAACTGCTAACTTTTGGTTAGCAGCCAAAGCTCTTGGCTATATAGATAATGCTTAGATATGTTTTATATAGTCTGCTCCCTTGCCTTCTGTGTGCCAGGGGAGTTATATACATTATCTCATTTAATCATCACTACAGTCCCCTAAGGGAGAGGCATTGTAATTTGTTTTGAAGAGGAGGAAACTCATCTGAGATGCTGAAGCCTCATGATCACACAACTAGAATGACAGAGCTAGAATTCAAATCCAAGTTAACCTGAGTCCACAGTCTATTTCTTTTCCGCTACTCTATGCTGCCTCCATTTTCTTTTTCAAATTAACTGATGATTTTTAAGGAGGATGTTGTTTCTCAGGAGTCATAATAGACTGCTAGGTTTCTGTTCAGTGTCACTGCCAATACATTTGTTTGCTAATAGACATATACTGAGGGCTATATGCTTATAGGAGCCCTGGTGGCATAGTGGTTAAGAGGTCAGCTGCTAACCAAAAGGTCATCAGTTTGAATCCACCAGCTGCTCCTCAGAAACCCTATGGGGCAGTTCTACTCTGTCCTGTGTGGTCACTATGAGTTGGAATCAACTCGACGGCAACAGGATTATATGCTTATATAGTTTTTTGTAACTTGGTCTCCTACATATAACAAGTAAGCTGTATTTAGGTTACCCCATCCTGTTAGGCAAAAAGGGTAAATGATTAGTCGTGAATGTTTCTTAGATTTATTGAGATATGCTATATTAAATCATAAGTCAGAGGAAAAAGCTGGACCTAACATCATTCTTTCATCTTAATCATCATACATACAGACAGTGTTCCAATGTTGATAAATCCTACCCTTTATTATTTTCAGATTTCTTATAATTAACATTTATGACCCCACAAGGTGGTAGTCTAGGTGGTAGAGAAAAAAAATC